GCAACTCTTCCCCAGTTGTATTTTGAATGCCTTTCAACCTGATAGTGTCATTTTCTGACACCATATCTGACAATATTCTGGTGCTCTTCATCATGTTTCAATATTCAGTATTCTGGTGCTGACAGTATTCCACTGGTTATTCATAAGATTATCCATGTTAATAGCAAAAGTTGGAAAACAGAAGGATCAGCAATTGGAAAATAATGTTGTTGTTAAGTGTTGTTGAGTCAGTTCTGGCTCAGAGTGACCCTATATAGGGTTTCCGAGGAGTGGCTGGTGAGTTTGAACCACTGACCTTGCAAGTCAAACGACCTTGCAGTCCAGTGCTTCTCCTACAATGCTGCGCCAGTTGTTGTTGTTGTTGTTAAGTGCTACTCACAGCAATTCTATATAGGGTTTCCAAGGAGCAGCTGGTGAGTTTGAACCGCTGACTTTATGGTTCAAAGCGATTTTGCAGTGCAATGCTTTATCCCACAGCACCACACCAAGAGTCTGTAGTAGGTGACATGTATTGAATGATTACTCTGTGTCTCAAGCTCCACTATCTCAATTCCTTCAGTGATTATGTAGCTAGCACTATTACTGTCTTCCTTTGTTCTAAACGAAGGCTTACTCAGGGCCACATGGCTAATTAATGATGGGAGGGTGTTGAGTACTAATCCCTATATTAAGAACCAGGAGCCTAAGCCCTATACTGTAAAAGTTAGCAAAATTCTTCACTCCCTCAATAGCATGCTTCTGAGATCTGAAATGGTTGGATTTATAGAGTCCTTTGTTCCACTGTACCAAGCATGAGGTCCTTTTCCTGGGACTGGTCCCTCCTGATAACATGTCCAAAGTACTTGTAATGAAACAGCACCATTCTCACTTCCAAGGAACATTTTAGTTGTAGTTCTTCCAAGATAGATCTGTTTGTTCTTCTAGCAGTCCATGGTACTTTCAATATTCTTCTCCAACACCGTAACTCAAATGTATCAATTTTTATTTTCTTATTCATTGCTCAACTGTGTCGCTGCTGCCACTGTGTGTTGTAAACTCAGAGTGATCCTGTGTAGGATTTCTGAGACTGTACATCTTTACAGGAGCAGAAATCCTCATCTTTCTCCTGTAGAGCAACTGGTGCATTCCAATGGCTGACCTTGTGGTTAGCAGCCCACAGTGAGCTAGCTATGATTATTTTCCATTATCACTTATCCATTATCCTACTGATGAAATTTTGGTTTCCAACTTTTCATATTGCAGATCTTGCTTCAGTGAAATCCCAGTGCCTAGGTACAAAGTTTCTTTTCAGTATCTGTCTAGAAGAGGGAATGAGGACTCATACCCTCTGCATGTTTTCATTTGAATATTGCCCAAGCAGTTGTATGAATGTCCACCCCCTACTGCACTGTGTGGCAGTTTCTATCCCCACATCCTCAGTAGCAGTTGAGATTGGCCAACTATTAGCTTTAATGGATAAGAAATATCTTGTTGAATTGATAGGGTTTTTTTTAAGTAACAAATTTATTGAGACATAATTCATATACCATAAATTTTACCCTTTTCAAGGTGTAAAAGTCAGTGGTTTTTAGAAGATTCACAAGGTTTTGTAAACATCAACACTATCTCATTTTAGAATATTTTCATCATGCCAAAAAGAAGCACTATAGCTATTAGTGCTCATTCCCCATTTTTCCCAGTCATTAATCTACTTACTGTCTCTATGGATTTGCATATACTAGACATTTTATATCAGAGTAATCATTCAATAGTTGCCCTTCTGTGTTTGGTTTACTTCACTTAGCATAATGTTTCCTAGGCCCATCCATGTTGTTGTATATATATAACTAGCTTATTCCTTTTTGTAGTCTCCTAATATTCCATCATATCAATAGATCACATTTTGTTTAGACTCTTATTAGTTGATAGACATTTGGGTTGTTTCCACTTCCTGGTTATTATGAATAGTGCTGCTATGAAAACTCATGTACAAGTTATTTGTAGACATATGTTTTCACTTTTCATGGAGAATATGACTATATTACTCATACAGTAATGGAATTACTGCACCATATGGTAACTCTGTTTAACATTTCAAGAAAACTGCCAAACTGGTTTCCAAAATGTCTGTACCATTTTATAATTCCACTAGCAATATATGATGGTTCTAATTTTTCTACCTCACTTCCAACTTGTTATTGACTTTTTAAATTTTAGCCATCCTAGTGACCTCCTGGAGTCCTGGTGTGGCACTGTGGGTTAATGCGCTGGACTACAAAGTTGGTTTGAAATGCGAAGTTGGTGGTTCAAGCTTACCAGATGCTCCTCGGAAACTCTTTACAGCGTTGCTATGGGTCAGAACTGATTCAACAGCACTTAACAACAACAATGAATTCCTGGTGCGACACTGTAGGATCAGCACTGGACTGTGAACCACAAGATTGGCAGTTCAAACCTACCAGCTTGTCCACGGAAACCCTAAACAGGGTCACTATGAGTCAGAATCGACTCAAAGACACTTGGCAACAACAGTGGATATGAAGTAGTATCACATTGTGATTTTGACTTGCATATAGCTAATGATATTGAGAATTTTTTCATGTGCTTATTGACAAGGTGTATGTCATATCCTTTGTGATTTATTAATATGGTGGTTTTTTCCTTTTGTTTGAGTCGTTAAGAGTTCTTTGTGTATACTGGATACAAGTCCCTTATCAGATATATGATTCACAGGTGTTTTGTTGTTGTTGTTGTTTTTGTTCTGTGATATGATGTGATTTGGTGATATTTGTAATTTTCTATTTTTCTTTTAAACTTGAATTTTCAAAATTGCCTCAACACATCAGATGTGGAGCTGTAGGATAAGCACTGGACTGGTAGCTGCAAGGTTGGAAACCCTATGCAGGGTCACTATGAGTTAGAACTGACTGCTTGCTGAAAGTGAAGAGGACTTGAAACCTTTACTTATGTAGATTAAAGAGCACAGCCTTCAGTATGGGTTGCATCTCAATGTCAGGAAAACAAAAATCCTCATCACTGGACCAATAAACAACATTCTTATCAACGGAGAAAAGATTGAAGTTGTTAAGGGCTTCATTCTTCTTGGATCAACTATCAACACTTGCGGAAGCAGCGGTCAAGAGATCAGACGACGTATTGCATTGGGCAAATCTGCTGCACAGGAACTTTTAAAGTGTTGAAGAGCAGAGATGTCATCTTGAGGACTAAGGTGTGCCTGACCCAAGCCATGGTATTTTCAATAACCTCATATGGAAGTGAAAGCTAGACAGTGAATAAGGAAGATCATAGAAGAATTGATGCCTTTGAGTTGTGGTGTTGGAGGAGAATGCTAAAAGTGCCTTGGACTGCCAAAAGAACCAATAGATCTGTTTCGGAAGAAGTGCAGCCAGAGTGCTCCTCGGAGGCCAGGATGGCTAAGCTCTGTCTCTCATACTTTGGACATACTGTCAGGAGAGAACAGTCGCTGGAGAAGGATGTCATGCTGGGTAAGATGGAGGATCAGAGAAAAAGAGGAAGACCCCCAATGAGATGGATCAGCCAGGTGGCATCATTGATGGACTCAAGTGTGGCAGCGGTAGTGAGGTTGGCCCAGGATGGGACATTGTTTCGTTCTGCTGTGCATGGGGTCGCTATGAGTCGGTTGGTTCCAAGTCCATGGAACCTGACAACAACAGACTATGAGCAACAACAATAGCATGTGATGAGTAGATCACAGACCAGATAGCCACGAAGTGTTCACGGAGAGAAAAGAGAAAATACATAATGCTCTGCTCATCAGAAACTTATCTCCACAATAACACAGACTGCCCTGAGGTCAGTTCTGTGAGCTGCTCAGCCGGTGAAGAAAAGTTTATTTGGAAAGATCCCATCAGAGTGTGAATTTTTTGTTTTCTGACTGCTGATTGGTTAATCCAAAAACAATTGGATTTCTTTTTAACCTGACATTTTCCTTTTTTTTTACTTTTCCATTTTTCCTTTCCTCCCTTCCTTTCTTTTTATCCTCTCTCCACCAACTCTGTTTCTGTTTTTTCAGATTGAAAATGGCTCAGGAATCCGTCAGCAAGTTGACATCAGAGAAGAAAGTGGAAACAAAGAAAATTAATCCCACAGCTAGTCTGGTGAGATGCCATTTTCAACCTAATCTGAAGGTTTTTTCCTATTACTTAGATACACCCAAGACGTATGTTTTAATTTAAAAGAATAAACTCGGGAGTGATTGGTAGCATCCTGAGAATCTGAAGAGTACCTACAATCTAGTAGTATGTATACAGTCTCAGTTCCACCCCAGAGCAACATATGGTTAAAGGGAACATGGGGGTACTGGAGGGAGGTTATGTGCTGTGTAGTTGGGTCTAACTCATAGTGACCTGTATAGGGTTTCCAAGGCTGTAAATCTGTATGGGAGCAGAAAGACTCATCTTTCTCCCATGAAGTGATTGGTAGATTCAAACTGCTGACCTTACAGTTAGCAGCCCAGCTCATAATCCACTAAGCACTGGACTGTTAACTGCAAGGTTGGTGGTTCAAACCCACGAAACACTTCTTGGAAACCCTATACAGGGTCACTGTGAGTCAGAATTGACTCGATGACATTTAACAATTTCACCACCAGAGCCCCTCATGAGAGAGTGGGGGACAGAAAACAGCAAAACATAGCTTCATGTTTTCAGCCTGCAAACTAAACAAAATTCTTTTCTGATCCACCAGAATTAGTCTCATGCCATTTCACATCCTTGTATTCCTACCCCTTCCCATGATCCTTTTTATCCCCTGAAATGTTTATCTAAGCATTTCCACACGCATCATTTCTCTTTCCCCTGTTAAAGGGCAGAGATGATCATCTTTTGCTAGTTGGGAAATTGGGATGCGGAAAAACACAGCTTACTTGGGGTCACTTGACAGTGAATAATAAGAACCAGCACCAGAATCTGGGCTGGTTGACCCTCCTAGCTTTGAGGGAAAGTTGTTCCCAAAGTCCTGTTTTCAATAAGAATCACAGTTGATCTCCACCCATATTTATAGCCAGTAGTCAGAAGAGTTGAGAGTGTTGGGGTTCCGATGGCCTGATTTCACTAGTTGTAAAACCTTAACTTCGCTGGGCCTCAATTTCTCATGAGTAAAAAGAGGGAAATAATAGTACCTTTACTTTATAGTTATTTTGAGGATTAATTGAAAAAAGATACGGAAAATGCCTAGCACATAAGAGGAGCTCAGTAAATTCTAGATAGTTTTATTATTCTGAATTCCAGAAGCTTTGGTTGACCCTGTAATTATTGCTAAGTGGGATATCATTCCCCTCACTCTGATTTTCAGACCCTACCTTACATGTGCCCTCATGTCCCACAGCTAGGAATTTTATTCTTTTGTGTGACGCATACTTTTTGGTCGTTGTTGTTGTTAAGTGCCATCAAGTCTGTTCTAATAGCAACACTGTATAGGGTTTCTGTGGAGTCCTGGTGTGGTGCTGTGAGTTAATGCACTGAACTATAAAGTCGGTTTGAACCAAAAGGTTAGCGGTTCGTGTTCACCAGTGGCTCCTTGGAAACTCAATGGCACTTAACAACAAGAAAATAGCATTTCTGTAAGCTGCTTAAAACCCTTTGAAGATCTAAGTAGAGTACATAAAATTAAAATATTTGGCCATGGTTTCCTAATAACAAACTTATCAACAGCTAAATGCATGTTGCTTAAGGTGAATGCAAAATAAACCATGGAGAATCCAGGCCCATAGACCTTAGTCAGATAAATGCGGCAAGATCAATGCATACAAACCCTATATGAATAGATAAATCTGTGATGACAATCCTGATTTTTATCTTCCTCCTTCATTGACCTCTGTTCCTTCAATTAGGCCCCTTACTTGGATCTCTGTCCTAACTTTTGCAGCTGAACATGGTTCCTCAAGGAAGAGTGAGTGGTGTCAGCCCTATAGACAAAGAGAAGACAGTGTGTTTACTGTAGCATTCTTCAGTAGGTTAACCTCCACTCTGAACAAGCTCTCAATTACGATCCTCAACTTGTTAGGGTCTTTATGCTGATTGGTTGGTTAATTGGTTGGTTGGTTAGTTTGTTTTGGTTGAAGTTAGAGAACAGCTTGCAAACTGATTCCTAAACTTAAGTTCTCTAGTCAAAGACAGGTGTTTAAAAGTCGTTTTAAACGTATAGCTAGGCCAATTTACTACAACATTACATCTCATAGATCAGAAGCAGCTGAGGATCCAATTCTTTGCCTGCTATTTCTCAGAGTGCACATTTCCCTTTTCTTTTGTTCTTCTGTTAGTCTTCCTCTAAGAGCAGGACACACCCATCCTTACCATGGTTAATATATTTACTTTTCTAGGGGCACAGAAACAGTGACAGTCTGTGTTTCGGTGTTATGTACTCTTGTTTATTCTTACATCTTCCCAACAAGCTTCCATCTTGCTGTTTTTCTGAAGACTGTCCCTGGAAAGGTAGCAGCACAGAGCGATCAGAGTAGAACGTGTATTACAAACGTTGGACCTCTGCCCTTCTGAATACACTAACCCTGGCCGTCTTTCATTCCACATACTCTTTGTTCAGTTCTGCCTACTAGATCATATGTGGCTATGTTCAACTTGAAAACAGTAACTTTTCATATTTCTTGAGCATACCCTAATTCCATCAGTGGGTGAGGGTGGTGGTTTTTTATTGTTGTTAAGTGACATCAAGTTGGTTCCGACTCATAGTGACCATGTGTAGAGTTTCTAAGGAGCAGCTGGTGTGTTTGAACTGCCATCCTTGTGGTTAGCAATCCTGTGTTTACTCCTCTATTACCAACCAATTAGTTTTTGTCATAAAAGAAGAGAACAGAATAGATAAAGCCCACCATTTCATGAACCTGACATGCAAGAGTTGGTGTTCTGGATTGATGGAGTTGGTTGGTTGACTAGCTATTCATTTTTGTATGCTTGTTTGCTTGCTTGGAAAATAAAGGTATAGATTGGGAGGGCAGGTAACCAAGGGCTTAGGAAAAGAAGGATAGAATACTCTCATTTGTAGGCTGTTTGGCCTAACTCTACTCAGAATTCTAGACTACATGCTTGTCAAAAAATGAGAAAGATGAAAAATTAGAGAATTGGTAATAAATTCACATTTTTGTTTTTTCTCTTTAAAACCAGAAAGAAAGACTACGTCAGAAAGAAGCCAGTGTGACCACCAACTAAAGCAGAGATACGTGAAATAATAACAGTGGGCTGTAGTACCTTGCATGATCCTTTGCAACACTAGTCCTGCAAGAGTTCTGGAAAGATATGTCACTGATGTTTGTTTGCTTCTCTCTTTTTGAGGTCATCTGAGAAGAGTGCCCTGTGACTTGTTAACGAAGTTCTTTATTAAGCCACGGGAACAATGAAATGCTCATAAGGGGACATGGCAATAGTATTTAAGACTAGAGAAAATACCAAGATTTTCCAAATTTTTAGAGAAGCTAAGATTTCAAACTCTCTAACCCATGCTTGATATGTGTAAACTTGTTACAAAAGAAGAGAAGGATCTCTCATAGCAATTGTATTGTGATATTTCAAGCCGTATATTTTTACACATTGCAGTTTCGATTATTAAGTCTTTATTTTAATCTTGTTGCAGCAAATCCTGCAGCATCTTTTGGGCCAAAACAAAAGTTGAAATTTTATCAAAATGATTTTTTCAGAGGTCAGTGAAATTCCCTGATGACAGAAATATTTTGTTCATGTAACAGAAGGAAGAGAAAATGGAATTTAGGGAGAAACGACCATGAACTTCATTGTGAAGAATGAGTTATGATGCGGGGAGTTGACATCAGCCATTGAATGAGGCTCATTGTTTGTGTTTATTTATGTCAGTGCAATGTGGTTTCCTGGACCAGCGGTGATTCTGCACCTCAACTCCCAGGAGAAATAATGATTGATCCCCGAGGCAGGACAGGCACAGCATCACAGCACCTGCTAGGCAAGAGGCCCAGTGATACAAATACCTTTTACATTTCAGACTATGAATGGGTAATGCTGTGTTGACATACAGCTCATCTCCACGCATATCCTGTTCTGTGACTCGACCTCTCCCTTTACCCCCAGGAGACAGTTTCTAGACAAGAGAGTAAATGATACTCACAGCCTCTGATCATGACAATGGCAGATGGGCATGTGAAGTTGGATGAAGCAGGGATCTTTAATATTGAAAAAATGCAGTTCAGGAAAAAAGTTTTTCATCAAAAAGATTTTTTAAAGGTGATTACTTTAATATTAAACTCTGAACAGAATATCGTGCATAGAAAGATCTTCCTCTTTCTAGAAGCCTATACAACTACTGCCTCTTAGATCAGAGAGTAGCCACCTTTGACCTCTCCTCTGACATCCCTTACATACGCACCACCCTTTGAATCGATCTTGTCAGGAGAGAAGAAAGAACACAATGTAAATTGAGAATAGGCCCAAAGGCTGTCATGCCGATGTTTGAAGAGCAAGAAGTTCAAGCTTCTCTTCCAATTAGTCAAGGACAGTCTAGAGATGCGCAAGAACCTTGAATCTCTTCCCAACCCAAGTGCTTGCCCCTTGTCTCAGCTTATTTCTTGAACCTATTAACTTGACAATTGTCTGAGTGTCTCCCCAGAATATGCCTGCCAGTCATCACCTCTCACAGAGAGCCTTATAATAGATTCAGCAAATCAGCATAGCACTGTGTTCTGATATAATGCCAGTCTAGAATGAAGAATGCACAATCAGGGTCAAATCAAGTCACAGAAATCCTATTCATGCAGGTGCTAGCAGTTCAAAAGAAAGGAATATGGAACGCTGTTGAGGTGGGTTTTTTTTTTTTTTTTCAATTACTCCAAATGACAGGAAGCAAAAAGCAAGATACTGAAACTGGTATGGAACTTCAAAAAAGCTTGACATTGCTTGTAAGCGAGAAGCTTGTCCTATTGCTTTTTTATGTAGCTGCTCTTTATTTTAACTTACCTGAAAAGAAAGCCAAGGGAATTCATCAGTTTAAAATCAAATCCATTTACAGTTACCCTGTGCTTCATGACTTTCCTTCTAGTATTATTATACAGAAGAAAATGCTGTTTTGTTCATGGAAACCAACTTGGAGTTCAGTATAAGTCGTTAGACTCAGTGGGATAGAGGTGCAGGGGGTTTTCAGTGGAATCAGCATAATCACTTCAAGTCTCTTAAGTGTGATGCTCACAAAAAAATCATTGAAGGTAAGCAGGACAATTTACCTTGACCAAATAACCCTGCCAAGATGTGCTCTCAGGGAACCAATATGGAAGACTAATGAGTGGAAACCTTTCATTTGAAACGTAGACAAATGCAACCCAAGTTGGATTTCATCCTAGTCGACAGAATGGAAATTAGCATTAAAATATCTGTTTCTAAAGATTCTGCCTCTGTTCAGGAAGTCTTGTGATTTTCTAACACTAATGAAATGTAGTAAAGAGTGTTAGAGCCTGAAGGACCCCACAGCAGAACCTCCATCCTATTGTACCATGCATCCGACTTCTATGATGCTTCTCCCAACCGCACCAGGTATACCACACAGTTGACAGTCTTCATGTTGAGCTGAAGTTGGTGCTCAGGAAAGGTTCACAAAAGTTTATTCAAGGTGGGATATCTAAAACCATCTGGAGCTTTTCAAAATGATCCTTTTAATTTCGGGTTGTGTTAAGTACAGTAGGTGTCACTACCTTTTTCACAGAGAGGGGGAGGTTTGCAGGACTACATCAGAGCCTGAGCATTACAGGCAAGTGCAGTTTAAGTGTCTGCCTCTAGGCACATTCCTTCCGAATCTAGAAAGCAGGGTGGCCAGGATTGCTATCCTGTGTTTAACCAGACACTCACACCTGACTGACTTAATAGTAAGACTGATAAACCTTAAAGTTAGACACACCTTCATATCTTCCTGGCTGGGCACAATTGGATAGCAATTCATATTCTTGCAGCAGCAGCTGGCAATAATCATCAAGCACATGAATATTTTATGTTAGTGCTAAAGCATGGAGAGAGTCTAACTATGTTGGCTAAAAAGCCTGAGTCCTGCAAGGTGTCAAAGCTCAGGTTAGAAGGAGGTATGCTTGTATGGCTTTCAACCTCAGAAAAGGTAGTTTATTATAAAAATAGGAAAAATGTGGCCAGGCAGGAATGGAAATGGATGATGATGATGTTAATGGAAGATGATTACAGATCATGGCCCTGGCCCTGTTTCCTAACAGCTGCCTCTTGAATCCTTGAGTTCATGTCTGTGATGTCTCTCCACATGTTTCCTGCAACTCCTTAGGAACTAGTGAGAAAGAATCCTGATGTCTAGGAAGTAGAATAAGAAACCCCAACAGTGCTATTACATCTTTAAATGTTTAGCTGAAACAAATTGCCAACATGGTTAAAGGGCTAAATGTCAGAATGGGTGCTCATCTTTTTTCCCCCAGGATAGTACGAACTCCAAACCTGCCAAGTCCCTCCTTTCCCCATGTACTCCATAAGGAAGGGCATGTCTTCAATGAAATGCTCATATACTGCTAATGGGAATCTGGAACAACTGACAGGAATAATAGAAGTCTATGGCATTGGACAGTCTAGCCACAAAGAGAAGTGGTCAGTCAGTAGGGTTCTTCCAAGGACCACAATCAGATGAAGCAATAAAGCTCTAAGTGTGATTTTAGTAACATTTTGACAGTTGGCCTGTGATTGTACCGCTCTCTATTATGAAATCCAATGCTATAAAAGTCATAAGCACATAAGAATTTGGAGAACTATGAAGGCCAATGGGCATGAACTGAGTCAGATGCATCTATTCCTGCTTAAAACTTCAGTCTGAACTATATAACTTTTAGAGTGCAGCTTTGAAATAGCCAAGAATAGTTTCCTTTACAAAAAGCCACATACAAGAAAGCTGAATGAAGATTGATTGAAGAAATGCATGTCTGCTATCTTGTCCTCATAAAGAAATCTGCAACAAAAGTGAGACAAGTCTATGTGGGAAAATTGATAGGATTGGAAAAGAATGGATAATTTTTAGCGTTTGCAAACTGCAAATAACTTGCTGGATGTTTCTCCATTTTCAAGCTTTAGAGATAAATAGACCAACTGCATGGGAACTTTTCTGTTATTTGTGCAGAAAAAGCTTAAAGGAAAGCGCCTTCAGGAACAGGCCTCATCAGAGCTTTCCCTAGGCTTTACATAACAGTATTTATAACCCCTTTAGCAATTGAATCCAGGCATAGTCAGCCTCAGTTTCACAGCTGTGTATGACTGTGAGGCCCTTTTTGTCATTTCTGCAGGCTCCATCAGCTGTTGACACCTTGTTAGAGGCACTGAATTTTAGTCTTACAGTTCTTCATTTCTCATTTCTCCTCCCAAGAAGTTGAGCAATCTACCAACCTCTCTCAGATCAAAACTTCGTGGGGAAGCAGTGAATTTAAGGGAGTTTTAACATGTCAAGGTTGAAACCAGTGCAGCAGTTTTATTTGTTCTAAGACTCTTAACACTGTGATGTAAATTTCACATTGGGGAAATTTGCATAGTTAATGATTTAATCAGAACCATGACTGTATTAAAATGGCAGCTAGCTAACTCGGTCTCTTAACTCACCATGCAGTTACCAAGGAAGAGATTAGGAGGCAAATCAAGCCTTACACTTTAGGTCATCTATTCTCAATGGAGCTTAGGACATTCGTTTCCCTTTCTACCCTCAGCCATCTCTCAGTCAGTCACCCCAGTGATAAATGATAGCGTAGAAGACATTTTTCTCCTCATCCTTCCCATCCCTGACATGGTGGCTCATTTCAGTCAAGAGCTCAAATGAACTCCAGACTCCATTGCACGTTCTAACTTTGAAGTCCTAGTTAGTGAATATCTTACTATTCTGTGACCTTGGCTTAATCTCAATTTTTCATAAGGAGGTGACAAATAAAAGTCATCAATTTATTATACATTCCATGTATGCTCATATAATTTCTTATTTTTTAATCCTCTCTTCAATATACTAAGAAATTCTAGTCGGTTTCCTTTTCCATAGTTTGAACATTGATAATATTGTGCTAGCACAATGCAAATGAATCTATAATTTCTGGCAGAAATTAACCAAAGAATTTGCCATCCTTCATGGACTAAATAACTAAGTTGCCAATTAGGCTGAGATCTCTCTAAATTCTACCTGTGCAGAGATCAGGGGTCCCTCTGTCTTTGAAAGT